TGTGTCTTTTTATGTTTGATTTGTGTGGATTGTTTACCATTTTATTTAGTTTATAAACATTTGTGTTATTTTAGTTGTAATTGTATTTTAGTTCTCATTTGTAAGTTGTAAAGTAGAGTTAGGATTTATGGTGTTGGAAAGGAAGACTTTGAATGTGAAGAAAAATAATTTTTGGCTGCCCAGGACAATCACCCGGTCGGGTGAGGTATTGCACCCGGTCGGGTGAGAAATTTAAATGCGAAACTGCTCAGGAAATTACATCACCCGGTCGGGTGAGGTATTTCACCCGGTCGGGTCCGACTTGACCCGGAACACCAGAACGTGCCGAAGATCGCCAGAACGTGGAAGATATTTGATTTTGACATGCACCCGGTCGGGTGGGAACTTTACCCGGTCGGGTACCCGGCCAAAGGTGTTGAAAAACACCTATAAATAGCCCCATTTTCCTTCACAAATCATCAACTCCTTCTTCCATACTCCTAAGCTCAGTTTAGAATAGTATTTCTTTTATATTTTTATAGCATGTTTAGTCTCCAAATGAGGAGCTAAACTTCCATTTCTTGGTGTTGCTCTTGAAGCTTGTTGATTATTAAAGTTGTGAGTTATTTTCTTATCTTCTTCCCTTGAATATTAATTATTCTCTTAATCTATCTATATATTAATGTTGGGGAGTGTTGCTAAGATGACAATTAGTTAACATCTCGACATTAATTACTACTAGAAACGATCAACGAACCGATGGTTAATCGTTGATGGCTTCACAAGTAAGTAACTTCGGTTTATTAATGCACGGTCGTGGTTAATAAACTTAAGAGGGATTAATTTTGTTGGTTAAACCGAAACCGTTGTGTTGAGGTTATCAATCTCAATTGATTTCATCAAGGAGTTAAGAGATTAAATGCTACTATTAAGTCGGTATATGGCGGTGTTCTATACTTGACTAATAGTAAGGGTTATTAATGAACGGTCGTTGTTAATAGCTACCCTCGATGAATTGGATATACTCCTCGATTGAGTATTCGAGAGGGAATAAGTTATAGATATAACAATGATCGACTAAAATATATCAACAAGTGGAAAGTAGCAATGCCAAGTCCTTTTTATCTTTAAATTAAGTTGTTCATCTTTATGTTTAATTAAGTTAAATCATTCAATCCCAAAACCCCCCCTTTTTATTTACTAGTTTTATAAAAAGAGAATTATTCCTTTCCCTGTGGATACGAACTCTACTACACTATACTACGTATAAGTGTTAGTATTGAATTTATTTTGACGCACCGTGACAAAGTGCTCGTCAAATTTGGCGCCGTTGCCGGGGAAAGGCAATTTTTTTTCTTTTTATTTTATCTCATAAAAATAAAAAAATAAAAAACAACAAAAATTTAAAAAAGAAAAATCTTACTCTTCTATTTCTGAGCTTTCATGAGTATATGGATACCAAACTATCATCCCTAGAGAGTCAAATTTCTGACTTGACTTCTCTAATAAAGGAATTTATCTTAAGCCCAAAAGCTCAAGATGCCAAGACATGCAACATTTGCATGTCTCACAGACATCTTACGAATTTCTGCCCAAAGCTCCAAGATGAATACCTTGAACAAATTGATGAGGTTGGTTACGAAAGGGATGTACCTCAAATGAGGTATGATCCGTTCTCCAACTCTAACATGTCTACGGAGGATATGGTCCGGGCTATTGCTACCAACATGACCACCATGCAAAACAACATGGTACAATTCCAAAATGAGACCAAGTCTAGCATTTTAAACTTGGAAACTCAAATGAGTCAAATAGCCGGAGCCGTGAGTAGGCTTGAAGCAAGGGATTCGGAAAAACTTCCTTCTCAAATGGAATGTGATCCTAAACAGCAAACTTTTGCAATCACATTGACAAATGAAAAGGAGATGCAAAAGGAGATCCAGAATCCAGAAGAAGTAGAAGAAGAAAAAAACACGGAGCTCCAATTGGTCAAAGAAGAGGATAAGCTGAGCTTCAAATTCAAATTTTTGTCATTGTCATCCTTTGAGGTATCTCCATCATCTCTGGAAGCTTTAAGAGAATCTCGTAAACTTGAAATGGAAAATGACATTTCTGAAATCTCCTTCAAAATTGAGGGATCGAAAAACTTTTCATTGACCATACTACATGATAATTTCTTCCCCTTCCTCCCACCACATAAATCAATGAAAATCTGGATATTTGATCCTGGAAAGATTTCCAAAGTAGAGAGTCGAGAAATTGAGCACTCCTATGGAGGTCCTAGGAGTGAAAATTTGAAGAAAATTAATTATCATGATCCAAGCTTGAACGATTGAACACAATGATGGCGTCGTGCCGCGACGTTAAACGAGGCGCTTCTTGGGAGGCAACCCATGTAAGGTACGTTTACTTTTTGTTCTAGTTTAAGTTTACACTTCAAAAAAAAAAAAAAAAAAAAAAGTGAAGCCTGGGGAACATACCCGGCCGGGTACCACACTACACCCGGTCGGGTATAGCGTAAAAATACCCTACCCGCACAACTCGCCCGGGCGAGGCAGCTGAGGAACAGAGAAAAATAGACACACCCGACCGGGTAGACCCCTATACCCGGCCGGGCAACCCTGCAAAAAAAAAAAAAAAAAACTCTCTGCCTCGGGTGAACAGTTTACGCCCGACCGGGTCAGTCACTATACCCGGCCGGGCGGTCGGGAAAAATCCCGATCAGGAGACGGGCAGGCAGCTTTCTTCCTCACTTTCTTTTCCCCATTCGAACCAAACCCCAAATTTCCTCCATTTCCAAGAGTCCAAAGCTTCATATCTCCTACATCCATCCACCAAATGCATTAAGTAAACCCAATTCATTCATCTCCTCTTCACCCTCTTCATCTCCACACCCACAAATCACCAACAAAACCTCCCAAAAGTACCCAAAAAAAAAACGCATTCATCTCATACACAAGCACTAGGGACAGTGCTTTGATTAGCTTGGGGGGAGAGTTTTATGGAATACTCACATTCATACTCTTTATTCTTATTAAAAAAAAAAGCTTGTTAAGTTGAAAACCTGAAAGGGCAACTTAAGCAAAAATAAAGCAAAAATAAGAGTGAGTTGTGAGGATTGAAACAGAAAAATGTGGGAAGCTGGGATGAAAACCCGAAAGGGCACCTAGGCAAAATGAGAGAATGAGAGAAAGTATTTTCTTTTCTGCAGGATCCTAAGGGTAACGAAAAAAAAAATGAGGTTGATAAGAAATATGGAGTTGAAGACCCCTCTTTACTCTTATATTTTTGAGGATATTTTTTGTGTTGTTCTACAAACACACGTGGATGTTGGTGTTGATACTTTTGTCATTTTAAGGGCTTCTTGGGCTGGATTTTGTTTACTCGAGACGAGTAAAGGTTCAAGTGTGGGGGTGTTTGATATGCACTAATTAGTAGTGCATAAATGTGTCTTTTTATGTTTGATTTGTGTGGATTGTTTACCATTTTATTTAGTTTATAAACATTTGTGTTATTTTAGTTGTAATTGTATTTTAGTTCTCATTTGTAAGTTGTAAAGTAGAGTTAGGATTTATGGTGTTGGAAAGGAAGACTTTGAATGTGAAGAAAAATAATTTTTGGCTGCCCAGGACAATCACCCGGTCGGGTGAGGTATTGCACCCGGTCGGGTGAGAAATTTAAATGCGAAACTGCTCAGGAAATTACATCACCCGGTCGGGTGAGGTATTTCACCCGGTCGGGTCCGACTTGACCCGGAACACCAGAACGTGCCGAAGATCGCCAGAACGTGGAAGATATTTGATTTTGACATGCACCCGGTCGGGTGGGAACTTTACCCGGTCGGGTACCCGGCCAAAGGTGTTGAAAAACACCTATAAATAGCCCCATTTTCCTTCACAAATCATCAACTCCTTCTTCCATACTCCTAAGCTCAGTTTAGAATAGTATTTCTTTTATATTTTTATAGCATGTTTAGTCTCCAAATGAGGAGCTAAACTTCCATTTCTTGGTGTTGCTCTTGAAGCTTGTTGATTATTAAAGTTGTGAGTTATTTTCTTATCTTCTTCCCTTGAATATTAATTATTCTCTTAATCTATCTATATATTAATGTTGGGGAGTGTTGCTAAGATGACAATTAGTTAACATCTCGACATTAATTACTACTAGAAACGATCAACGAACCGATGGTTAATCGTTGATGGCTTCACAAGTAAGTAACTTCGGTTTATTAATGCACGGTCGTGGTTAATAAACTTAAGAGGGATTAATTTTGTTGGTTAAACCGAAACCGTTGTGTTGAGGTTATCAATCTCAATTGATTTCATCAAGGAGTTAAGAGATTAAATGCTACTATTAAGTCGGTATATGGCGGTGTTCTATACTTGACTAATAGTAAGGGTTATTAATGAACGGTCGTTGTTAATAGCTACCCTCGATGAATTGGATATACTCCTCGATTGAGTATTCGAGAGGGAATAAGTTATAGATATAACAATGATCGACTAAAATATATCAACAAGTGGAAAGTAGCAATGCCAAGTCCTTTTTATCTTTAAATTAAGTTGTTCATCTTTATGTTTAATTAAGTTAAATCATTCAATCCCAAAACCCCCCCTTTTTATTTACTAGTTTTATAAAAAGAGAATTATTCCTTTCCCTGTGGATACGAACTCTACTACACTATACTACGTATAAGTGTTAGTATTGAATTTATTTTGACGCACCGTGACAAAGTGCTCGTCAATCACGTGATTTTTTATGGCGACCCCGGACGCGTATAAACTCCACATGTGTGACTCCGTTTTAGAAAGCTCAAGCAATGCGGCACATGAAGTTATTTTTTTTATGAACACAAAGAAAGTTTGATTCGTGGTTGTTTTACTACGTATTACATATTGGCCGGGTACGTTAGCAACTTCAGAGTAGAACTTTGGGGGTTCCATTAGACCCACAACCCACTTCTCCTTGGTTGCTACTCTACATTTTCTTAAGGAAGCCATTTTATTTGGATGGTTTTATTCACAGCCACAAAATTACTAATTACAGCCACTTCAATATAATTAATTAAAAATAATAATTTCAAATATCTATTTTACCCTCCCACCATATATTACAATTTGCTGACTACATACGTGATACGACTACTAACGTAAACGTACAATGCCGCCTCAATCCAACAAATTCTGAGAAGGCAATATAGGCATATATAATATTCCATAAAAATCCTCTCTGAGTCGCTCTCTTCTTGTTCTGCCATCGATGAACAATTTTAGCAAAGAATGACAATACTCAATAAAATGAGTACTTCGCTATGAAACTGAGAAGGCGATATGGCATAGTACTCTGGTGTACTCAGTCTTCCATTTTTGGTCACGAAAACTGGTAGACAACAGGGATGGGGAGCCGAGAAAACAGAGAGCACTTCGAAGGGGTGAAGCTTTTAGAAACTTTATGGAGTAGTGGAGTACCATTCTCCTCAAGTTCTATCCAATATTAAAATTGACTTGTTTATCAACAAGAAATGACAGAGAATCAACATTTTATTTTATTCTTTCAAATTAAAGGTGTTGGAGGTATTGGTCCTACCAAGGCATCCCTTCCACTTATTATGTTAAGGCCGGCACCCTATGTTTACTCCTACTTCCTACACTCTTACTGATCTAGCTAGCCTGGCATTTCCTATCCGCTGCCAACTCTTATTGACTCGGTATTATTTGTCTCTTGGCCTCCTGACTTTTGCTAGCCTGTGTCGAGCCCCACCTTTGTTTGTCTTTGACACCCATGAGCAAATAATAGCCTAATATAATTGAGTGCTCCTCTTCTCTTTTTGAGTGACACGGTGAGTTCAATGCAGTGAGCTCCTCTTCCTTTCTTTGTGTGTAGTTAGAGTGTGAGGGAGTGGTAAACAAGGTGAGTGGAGTGGCTAAACAATCCTGGGGTGGTGTGTGTGAGTTGTTTTGGTTGGAGACCTGAGCTGAAATACACACCCAACAGTGGTATCAGAGTCGGATTCTGCCCTCCGCCGCCGTCCGCCGCCAATTGAAGCTACTAGAAGATATGACTGTTGTTCTACGTTGCCGCTAGAACCTCCTGCTGCTTAATTACACCGTCGTTCGTCGTTGCTAGTTCATCATCGCTGGTTTGTTGTTCGTAGATTCCGGAGGTCAGATTTTCAATTGACTGTCGATTGAAGTCACTGGAGGAGTGCTCGTGACTCGCCCGGACTCGATGCCGCCGGAAATCGACCGTCGATTTCTGTTTCTGCCCGTCGAGTTCGCTGGAGGTTGCTGGAGGTGACTGAAGGCTAAGGTTGTAGCTTTCCCTCTCTGTTCGTCTCTGGTAGCAGAAGGAGGAGCTCGTTCGTGAGGCTGGACTTGAAGCTTGAAGCCTGGAGCTCGAATCTTGAGCTTGCAGCAGAAAGCTTGGAACCGAGGTCTGGCCGCAGGAGTTGACGCAGGCAGCTGAAGACTGAGTTTGTCGCTGCATCATTGTTCGTCCCTGGAGTCGATGGAGGTCCGTCGAAGCAGGTTGCTGAGCTCCTTTCGTCGCTGAAGAATAAGGCTTGGATTTCAGATCTGAAGCCTGTTCTTGTTGGACAGAAATTAAACCCAATTATTTTCACGCGTGGAGTTGCTGATACTTACTGGTCAAACTTGGACGCGTGAAGAAGTGGATGCTGGATCTGCCTGACCCTGCTGCTGGACTGCTGGACTCTTTGGGCTTGAAGATTTAGGATGGACTGCTGGATTTGAACTGGACCTGGAGCAGAGGAAAGTCTCGGTCAATCTGGTCAAAGTTCGGTCAACGCTGGTCAAAGGCAGTCAACAGTCCGAAAAAAAAATCCCAATTTTTAATTGGGTGGGTAAGGTCAAAACGCCTCTCCTAGGGTTTCGCTCCGGTATATTGGCTTGAAACTCCCTTATATCTCCTTTGTAGTGATTTTAGTCTTTTATTGTATAGAAATTATATTTTTGGTTTATCACTCTTATTCAAATTGTTCGAATTGTTGTATTGTGTTTGTGCTGAAAATTTATTATTTATTTGTGCTTATACGAAAGAACAAGGGGTTTGAAGTTGAGTTTGGTGTTCATAAATACTCCCCGCGTGTTCGTGCTAGTTGCTTCGTATATTTGTAGCCTTATAAATATTTAAATTTTTTAAGCGATATTTACATTTTATTTTGTTGCTTGTTTTTCTATGTGAAAATGTCTGCTTATAATCAGTATTGTATGGCTCCATTTAATGGAAAATCTGATTTTAGCATTTGGAAGCAAAAAATTAAATGTATTTTAATACAACAAAAATGTTTTAAAGCAGTTGGTGAAACCTATTTAATTTCTGACACAGAAGATAAAAGGGCTAAAATGAATGAAAATGCATGTTCTGTGATTTATTTGAACTTATCTGACTCTGTGATTAGAAAAGTTGGAATTTTAGAGAGTGCTAAAATTCTGTGGGATAAATTGAATGAACTGTATACTGAGACCTCTTTGCCTAACCGGGTATTTGTACTTGAAACGTTCTTCAAATTTAGACTAGATATGTCTATAGATATTGAAGAAAATCTAGATGTTTTTACCAAACTTATTTCGGATATTAAGTTGTGTGGTGATAAGCATATAGATGATTATTCCCCTATTGCTCTTTTAAATGCTATTCATGATTCCTTTGGTGATGTGAAATCTGCTATTAAGTATGGTAGAGATAATGTGACTCTTGACATTGTGGTAAATGGTCTTAAGAGTAAGGAATTAGATTTAAAACAGATGGGTGAGGGTAGAAAATCTGAGGAAGTTATGCATGTGAGGGGTAGAGAAAATAATAGTAGACGACATAGATCTAAGTTTAGGTCTAGTTCGAGGCGTTGCTATTATTGTTATGAATCTGGTCATTTCATAAGACACTGTCCTAAATCTAAGAAAAATGAGCATAGTGAGCATGCTAATTTGACTACGTGTGAAGATGATTTAGGTGATGTTTTTATGATGAAAAATCTATGTGATTATGACTATTTGAGTTCTGTGATATCTGATTCTTTGGGTAAATCAGATTGGGTGGTAGATTCTGGTTGTAGTTTTCACATGTCCCCTTTGAAAAATGTTTTTTCAAACTATAGAGAGATTGAGCATGGCTTTGTGTCTTTAAAAAATGAGAAGAAATGCAATGTGTTAGGAATAGGAGATGTGTGTCTTAGGTTCTCTTCTGGTTATGTGCTTACTTTGAAGAATGTTAGGCATGTTCCTGAGCTGTGCTGTAATTTGCTATCTTGTGCTTCTCTTGAAAATGTGGGTTTGAAGGGAAAATGGGGAAAAGGAATCATGAAAGTTGTGAAGGGTTGCTTAGTTGTTTTCAAAGCTGAGATGGAAAACAACTTGTATGTGTGTCATGCTGAACCCGTACTTGATTCTGTGAATTGTGTGCAACCTTTTGTGCTAGGAAAACGGTCTAGAGTTGGTTTTCCTGATTTGCCTAAGTGTACTAATGTGCTTGATTGTATTCATGCTGACTTGTGGGGTCCTTATAGTGTTTCCACTCATGCTGGGAAAAATTATTTTCTGACGTTGATTGATGATTTTTCAAAGAAAGTGTGGGTGTTGTTGATTGAGAATAAATCTGAAGATTTTGATAAGTTTAAAAACTGGAAAACCCTTGTTGAAAATCAAACTGATAAGAAAATTAATTTTTTAAGGACCACTGTTAGTTTTGATTTCTGTGATAATCAGCTTGGTGATTTATGTGATACTTGGGGTATTTCTATGCATAAATTTATTCCCTCCACACCCCAACCGGATGGGGTTGTTGAGAGGATGGTTAGAACTTTATTAGAGAGGAATATAGCGTGTTCAACTCACAAGATCTCATTATTCTACACACCTAATACTCCACTACTTTTTCTTGAATCAACTTTTATACCTTGGATGAAATCAGTGACAATGGCTTTTACCGTGAAGTACAAGATGTCGTTTCTTGAAGGCTCTATTGAACAACCATCTCCAGCTAACACTGATCTCTATTCAACCTATTTTCATGTCAATGCTTTTTACTCTTACCTTGGCTTGTGTATTCCATTTGTCCTGAAGTTCGTTCTACCTTTCTTTACTTTACCAACGCTAAAGAAGTCTGGGATGAAGTCAAACTTGGATATGGAAAGAGTGATGGTCCTCATATCTTCTATTTAGAGAAAACCTTAAGCAATATCTCCCAAGGTTCACAATCTCTTACTGCATATTATAACGTTTTTAGAGGTTTTTGGGATGAATATTGCAACTATAGGACCCTTCCTGCTTGTTCTTGTGGTCCATCTCAACCAAGCATATCAAGAGTTATTACAAAAAGAGTCTGTCCTTCAATTCTTGGTAGGACTTAATGAGTCTTATGCTAATCTTCGTAGCCAGATTCTTCTGCAAACTCCTATTTCTAGTTTGTCTAATGTTTACTCTTTGCTTCTTCAAGAAGAATCTTAGCGTTCGTTGCATCATCCTTATGAATCTGTTGCTATGCTCAATACTCAACTTAGCACTGAAACTTTTTCCAATGATTCTAGTGCTTTTCTTGTCAAAAACACTTTTTTCAAGAAAAAGTTAATTGGTAGTTGTAACATTGTTTTCAAGGCCATTCTTCAGAAAGATGTTACCAAGTCATAGGTTATCCTCCTAACTAGAAAGGATCTAAAGGGAAAACAGTTGCTCCTGGTTTTAAACCTTTTCATTCACTACCAAAATCTTCTCAAGCACATCTTGCTTCTAATCATAATCCTCAAGAAACTGCTCAAGACTGTGTCTCTCAAAAAAAAGCTCACTTGGATCTCTGCAACCCTGATATGTACAACAAGTTCTTACAATTCATCAAAACTCAAAATAATACCCATTCTTCTCCTCATGCTGCAACGGTTGCTCACCCAGTTGCACCCATTTCTTCTACTGACACTACTTCATTCCTAGGTAAACACATTGCTCTAAATAGTTTTATTAATTCCACTACTTGGATTTTAGATACTGGTGCATCAGATCATATGATCTATGATGCAAACTTATATACTTCTATGATTAAACCTATTTCTATAAAAGTTCAAATTCTAAATGGTAATTTTATAACTGCAACTCAAGTTGGAAATGTTCAAATAAATAACAAACTTACCCTTCATAATGTTTTGTATGTACCTGAGTTTCACTTTAATCTTATTTCTGTTTTCAGCCTAGTCTTACATGACAATCTTTCTGTCAGCTTCACCTCTAATCATGCTACATTGCAAGACCAACTTACCAACAAAATCATTGGTTATGCTGATTTGCAAAATGGACTCTATCATTTCATAGCTCCTCATTCCACTGATATCTATGCTCATCATGTTGCTCATTCTGTTTCTAGCAAAGCTGATCTTTCTTTTAATATTTGGCATTATAGACTAGGTCATACTTCATACAATAAATTGAAACTCTTTCCTGATTGTAATACATCTTCTTCAGATAATAAAAGTGTTCCTTGTGATATTTGTCATTTTGCTAAACAAAAAAAATTACCTTTTCCTGACAGTATTGCTTATGCTTCTTTTCCTTTTGATCTAGTGCATATGGATATTTGGGGACCGTTTAAAACACCTTCTTACTCAGGTTTTACCGTTGTTTTAGATATTTTCTTACAACTGTTGATGATCATACTAGATGCACTTGGGCTTTTATGATGAAAACAAAAGATGAAACCAGATTTCATATGCTTAATTTTTATACCATGATTGAAACACAATTTCATAAGAAAATAAAAATTATAAGAACAGATAATGGTACTGAATTTATGTTTACTACCTTTTATCATTCAAAAGGCATTATTCATCAAAGATCGTGTGTGGAAACTCCCCAACAAAATGGTAGAGTAGAAAGAAAACATCAGCATATCCTTCAAACGGCTAGATATTTACTATTTTAGTCTTGCTTACCTAATAGTTTTTTGTCCGATTGTATTCTTACTGCTATTCAAATTATTAACAGGTTGCCTTCTGTTATTCTAAACAATATAACTCCCTATGAAATGTTATATAATCATAGAGCAGATTATTCTCATTTGAAAGTTTTTGGTTCTTTGACTTTTGCATCTACTCTTTCTACTCATAGAAATAAGTTTCACACAAGAGCTCACAAGTGTGTTTTTATAGGATATCCTTTAGGTGTTAAAGGTTATAAACGGTATGAATTAAATACTCATAAGATATTTATATCCAGAAATTGTAAGGAATAAATGTAATTAGATTTTGATGATGCTAGGATAATTAGATTAGAATTTCAGAGTACCCCCATATAGATCTCATGTATTAGAAATTTTCAGTTGTAAGCATTAGTATATTCGACATCAGAGTTGTTAAGTGGATCTGATCAGAGTTGCTATTTGAGAACTGCTTTCTGAGTCATTCTCGGAAGTCATAAGAGTCGCTCATCAGAGAAGCATCAGAGTTGCTCTTCAGAAGTCTACATCAGAAATCCATCAGAGTTCGATGAAAAAGCTTCATCAGAATCCAACTCCAGAGAAGTATCAGAGTTCCTTATATAAGTCCATCAGAGTCCAAGGTCAGAACTTCATCAGAGAATCTCATCAGACTTGGACGAACACTTAGAAGAACTCGAAGCTGCTTTCAACGGCCGTATATCAAACGGGAAATTCCCTAACGGTTAGAAGATATTTCATCTAAGGAAAGCATTCAATGAGCCTGATACGCTAAGGAGTAATTGCAGATGATTGACCGAGATTCCTGGAGAATATTACACAAAAATAGAAACCTGCCAAAATTGCGGGTCCAACCGGTCAAATCCACAGTACGCGCATTTAATGCAGTTGTCTCCTCCTCCAACGGGCAGACAACCCCAGTATATAAGCTACACGCTGAAGAACAGGAAGATAACTTTGCTCACCTCAACATTCAAAAAGCTCTCTTGAGATTCAAACTCTACAATCATCAACAAGACAAGCTTACGTTGGGAAGATTCAAATATCCATATCCTTCAATCCCAACACACAGCAAAGTTCATCCAGTTCTTCAACTCTTCAAGAACTTCAACTACAAATCTTTTGTAACGAAGCTAGTTGGAAAAACTCTGTGTTTCACACATCTTCTGTAAAGAAGGGCGTCCAAGTAACTGCAGTAGTGAAGTGGTGATACTTCCGGGAAGCTGAGTGAAAGGACCAGCCATCAGGACGTGGAACTGCATCCTGGGTGGCAACTAGGCTTGAAGAAGGCGTGGAGAACTTCTTCAGTGCTAGGGACTAAACTTTGTAACTGTTTACCTCAAAGCTAGTGGAACAGTGGACTAGAGGAACGCGTTGTTCCTTGAACCACTATAAAAATCCCCGGTGTCATTTACTTTATTGCATTTATTTTCTGCACTTAGGATTTCAACTGTTTAACTCTAAGACTTGGAATCTGTGTTCAGCAGATCTCGTTTTCAGAGTTATCAGAAAGGCATTTGCCTTAGTATTTTTGAGGCTACCCGGAACTCTTATCCGTTGCTAGACCAGTTCTAATCATCAGAACTCGACCCTCTCTAACAAATCAACTCTGACTTAGAGAACAAGTTTGAAAAACTATAACAGTCTATTCACCCCCCCTCTAGACTGTTACCAACTTAAACGGGACCAACAGAAATGTTTATTTTTATGAAACTATTTTTCCTTTCAAAACAGAAACTTCTGCCAATACGGACTTTGTTCAAAATATTGACTCTATTGAGAATCTTAACTTTTTATATGATTTTTCTAATCCTTCTAATACTAATATTACTAATTCCAAACAAACTGAAAACAATGATACTAGTTTTAATTATTTAGATCAACAAATAATGGATGAGATTGGAACTTCTCATAATATTACTGAACATACATCATCAAGGGTGAGATCTTTACCTACTTATCTCAATGATTATCAATATGATTTACCTACTTCTATAGATCATCCTTCTCGTTCTTGTAATATTGTTAAATATCCCATCCAAAATTATATTACAAATAAAAGACTCACATCTTCCTATAATTGTTTTATTACTTTTGTTTCCAAAATTTCTGAACCTAAAACATATAATGAAGCTATTAAAATCCCAGAATGGGAAACTGCAATGGAAACTGAAATAAAAGCTCTTGAGAAAAACAATACTTGGATTTTAGTTACTTTGCCTCCAAATCATCATACTATAGGATGTAAATGGGTTTTCAAAACCAAATTAAAATCTGATGGCACTTTAGAAAGACATAAAGCTCGATTAGTTGCAAAAGGTTATACTCAAGAATATGGTCTTGATTATTTCGATACGTTTTCTCCTATAGTGAAACTTATTACCGTTTGACTTTTAATTGATATTGTTGCTGCCAAAAACTGGTTTTTACATCAATTAGATGTAAACAATGCTTTCTTGCATGGTGATTTGCAAGAAAGTATATACATGAAACATCCTCCAGGTTATCTACCTTCTAATGACAACAGAGTTTGTAAACTGACCAAAAGCCTATATGGTTTGAAACAAGCATCGAGACATTGGTTCTGTAAGCTCTCTCTTTTTCTTAAATCTATTGGATATATTCAATCTAAAGTTGATTGCTCTCTTTTTACTAAAGCTACTCGAATTTTTTTACTGTTTTATTATTATATGTAGATGATATTATCCTTGGTAGTAATGACTTCAATGAAATTGAAAATGTAAAACATCATTTACATGAACAGTTTACTATCAAAGATCTTGGTGAATTAAAATATATACTAGCTAGGTATTGAAGTTGCTAGATCTACAAAAGGAATTTGTTTATATCAAAGAAAATATACTTTAGATATTCTTTAAACTGGTTATTTAGCCTCTAAACCTTTCAATACTCCTATGGATTCAAAACTGAAGTTATTTAAGAATAATGGAACACCACTATTCGATCCTAAAATATATAGAAATCTAATTGGAAAGTTTCTTTATCTCATTGTTACTAGGCCTGATATTGCTTATAGTGTACAAACATTAAGTCAATTTTTATCCACACCAACTGACATTCATCTTAGTGCTGTTCATAGAACTCTTACGTATCTAAAGAGCACCCCTGCAAAAGGTCTTTTTTATTCCAATTCATCTGATTTTCTTTTAGAAGGATATATTGATTCTGACTAGACATGCTGTGTTGATACCGGAAAAAGTGTTTCAGGTTACTGTTTTTACTTGGGCAATTCTTTAATATCTTGGAAATCCAAAAAAAAAACAACCTGTTATTAGCAGCTAGCTTGTGAAGCTCAATTTTTAAAATACCTTTTGAATGATTTCAAAATTCTGCATTCTTCTCCTATAGTTTTACATATGAATAATCAATCAACATTTCACTTAGCACATAATGCTGTTCAACATCAAAGAACTAAACATATTGAAATTGATTGTCATCATCTTATTAGAGAAAAATAAATATCTCAAGGTTTGACTCATCTTGTTTTAATTAAAAATCTTTTTCAGCTTGCAGATATCATCTATGCAAAGCCCTCTGTCAAATCCATTATTTGCTGATTTCATTGCCAAGATGAACTTTATGGATATTTACGCTCATCTTGAGGGGTATTAGAGCTCTTATGAATTAATTGGATGCTGACACTGAATTATATTTAGCTATGTACATATACCACCTATGATATATTTTCGTATTATTGATAGTTAAAGGACTAGTTAGCAATTAGCCTTACATATATAAGCCTTGTAATAATAGGTAGGGGTGGGCAAACGGGTCTTGGAACCGCGGTCCGGTCCGGGTAATGGCGGTTCGGGTCCAAAACGGGACATCTCCTTTTTTTGTTGCCATAAAACGCTCCGGGTAGGGTCGGGTAATTTTTTTTAAAGACCCGGGCCGGTTCCAAAATAAAAATATACCGGGTATCCAGCCCGACCCGTTATATATTGTATATTAATTTATTAATAGTTTTGTGATAATCGGTTTTGAAATAGTTTTGTTTTCCAAGTAGGATTTTTAAATTGAGTTGCAGTAACATCATTTTGTTTTCTAATCAATGATTAAATTTTACATAAATATCTTATTACTTTTTATTGTTATTGAATTATTCATTTCTATGGAATTTAGTTATATATTTGTTAAAAATGATTTTGTAATATTTGTTTTTATAATATTGTTCTTAAAATATATAAATTGTGCTTACCACCCTCATGTATGTGTCAACTTTGGCTAATATTGAAAATTTAATATAAAAAAACAATCACCTTAATATGTGATGTTAGACAACATGTTTAAATTCAAATGTTAGAAAATATGTATTTTGGTTACGTTGCCGATTTTTTGAACTTCTTTAACTGTTTGGAACTTATATACATGAAATTATGGAATATTGGACTTGTCACTTGTGTAGTTGTGTTACATGTGCACCACTATGTTGTTATTTTGAAATTTGCTAATGTACTTATTATTAATTATTGATTTTTGAAACTTCATGAGTTTTTACCAATTTTAAGACATAAGAATAGAAACCATAAAAACCCGGACTGGGCCGCGACCTGTTTCAAACGGGCCGGATAAGGTCCGGTTCCTATTTTGAAAATTGCAATAACCAGACCGGACCGGGTCGGGTCATTTCATTTCAATGGAACTGGCGGAGTGGCGTTTCATTTCATTTTGCATTACCCGACCCGGCCCGTGCCCAACCTAATAATTGGTCAGTCCGTAACTATTCATTCAAACATTCATTTGATTTGCTTCCTTCTCACAAAGCAGAGTAAACAGACGGATCAGGATCCTCTGCCATAAGGCAGAGTGCCTTGCGGCATCCAACGGCAGGGAGGCGACGAGGACGACCTTGAGATCGGAGAAGGAGTGGAGCCCAACATCTTCGGCCGTCCAATTCCCGATCGGACGACCCGGAAGAGCCAAGCACCCTGCCTTGCTTTAAAGCAAGGCAGAGGCTCCGGATCCGTAAACAGACATTTCATCTTCTTCTCCGATTACTAGTATTCCTTGATACTACTGATATTCGAAATATTCTACTTGATTTGATAATCAACAAGGTTTTAAATAGCCGTAGCGGTAGCGGTAGCGGTCATCGCAGTAGCAGCCTGTAGCCGACTGTAGTGATTGCAGCGGCGTGAAATATTTTCAATTGTGCAAAACATATATTTAATGAGTGTTGAAGTTAATACAAACATTGTGAATATTTGTTTGAACACTTATAACATTAAGAGTTCATTTACAGAACATAGACACATTTACACATCAACCCGTTCGTGACGTGCTGCCGGAAATGTCAATAGCGGGCTGTAGCGGGCGGCGTTGCGGGGTTTTCCCGTGATTTGGAATTCACAGCGGAATAGCGGGCCGTAGCGGTAGCGGCCCCTACCGCGACCGCTATATAGCGGCCGCTATATAGCGGTAGTGGGCCACTATTTAAAACCCCGATAATCAATAGGAGGCGAAGGGTAAGCCACACAGTTGTTGGCCAGAGGCAGTGTGTGGCGGAAGGGCGGTTGAGGCCAGTGAAGGTGGAGGCCGAACTTCGGAGACGTAGCTATGGAGGCTGGGCGGCGGAGATGGTGGCTAGAGAGGTCGGGACAGCGGAATCTGTTCCAGTGGGATCGATGGAGGCAACAAAAATGGAAGAAAGTAACCGGATTTACAGTGGAGACAAGAAAGAAAGGAAGAAGCGAACAAGGGGGAGCAGGGGACTGTGAGAGGAGAAGAGGAACGGGCCAGAAACAAAGAAAGAAAGAGAAAAAGAAAAGAGGAAAAGAAACAGAAAAAAAAAAGGAAAAGAAAAAATGGAAAACAGTAATAAAAGAACGTCAGCTAGGACATCCACGTAGGCAACTCACCAGGTGACCGGTTAGCTAGCTACCTACTACCTCCGTTCCAAAAAATTCTTCTCACTTACCTTATTGAGATGTCCCAAAAAAATTTCATATTACCCATTATGGAAAGATTTGTGTGGCTACTGTTGAATTACCCTTTTCTTACTAACCACAACCACACATTTCCACTTTATTCCTATTTAAACTCCGATCGAAGTCTAACCGGGAAGAATTTTCGGGGACAGGGGGAGTATTAAATAGCAAATTTGGTCGTGTTTTGATAATTTGCAGACTCGATTGACTCGAGAAAACGAAGATAGACTCAATTGACTCGAGAAAAAGTAGATAGACTCAATAATTGACATTTTGTGAAAAATAGGTGGATCTATTTGACAGTTTTCCCTTTCATCTTCCATTATTTTTAAATGCTAGCGGACAAATAATTTTGTTAGTAAGGTATACCATATTAATTAATTAAGTGTTGACTAATTTTTTCAAAGTTTGGAATAAACTATTAATGGTTGCTTTCATTCAAAGTTCCAATGAGCATGTCGGTTTGTAAGATTTCTATCTCCATTCATTAGCACGCATAGTATCGATTATAAACTAAGTTAGTGTATTGAGAATGTTAAACAAAAATGTTTCTAGAATAACGTACTTCTTGCAACATTTTATAATGGATTAACACCAACCCTTTGAAAATCTGGATGGATCAATAGCCAATAGTCCATCCACAATATATACGTACTGACATATTGGTAAGCTATAAGTATTAGGTGCTTTTATCATTGTTGTTAATAATTAATATCTTTACCATAAATTTATGTCCTATTTGGGACAAACTCACAAACACCTACCTGTTGTGTTTTCATACTAGGTATATCCGTATATGTTGGATTATTTTCAAACTTGAAAGATGATTGGTTCATATAATATTGGACTTATTAGGTTGGTGGCTGATTTAGTATGGTTACATATATTTTCGTATGTACATCTATGATTATATATAATCATACTTGGCAGTTGGCATACACACGTGTGTGATGGATAACACATTCAAATGGATATAATCATGTATATTCGTATTATACATAATAATATATATTATTATTTTAATCTATTTGCATGTTTATCTATTCAACTGGACACTTAAGTAACGGCCATGCCAAAAGATACTAAGAACCGACATATACTCTCATACCAAAGGATACTAAGAACCGACATATACTCCCTATATATATTACTTCTAGAGTCGTAGTTTTCTAGTTAGAATTTTTCTTCTTAACTTTTACTTCACAAATTCGTATACGCATTCTGCAGATGTGTATGATACATTAACAAGGCTATTAGTTACAAAGTATTTAAGATTAGATTATTAAGTGCAAATAATCTAATGAGGCTTCATTGTATCCTAAAGGCAATTCGTTGGACCATATGCACTAATTTATATGGGACGTATTTCGCCTAAAGGAAAGCGATTTGATCGTGACTTGAAGCCGGAATAGTTCTTCTCTCTATTTTCAGTTTATTGTTAAATTAGTAGTATTTCAATAAAGTTTAGTGTTCTAGATTTCCAACAGTATATGTCAAACATTTCTCTCCCAATTAAATTTTGAACTTGCTTCTAAGAATATTACAGTATGAGCTTCTTTTTTAAGCATATGTGTTTTGAAATCTGAGTAGATCTTAACGTAACATTTCTATGTCATTCATTATTACACAAATGTTGTTGATACACATTATATATACATATTGTGTACACTCATAATTGTCCGTTTACATGATAATTGGTTCAGAAGCTACCTTGTAGATAAAATAAGGGAGTGTAGACAATATGTGTACGCCAAGAATGGTTTTCATTATTATATGTAGACACGTAGACACGTAGTACATAGTATATGTTACTACCTAGTAAATTGAAAATGTTAAACCACTTATGAGGAATGCGATCCCGTGAATAGAGTTACAGAGAGGCTGATTTATGAATAACTTCTACAATTACCTTTTTCTTGTACTTTTAGTACATAACCTTATCTACCCGTATAGAACATCCAAATGAACACACATTATTATTGAAGCTACTCTTCAAAAAGCGAGTAGAACAACGTAATGAAGCATTTAATTTTTTTTTATCTAGAAGGCTTTACACTCGAATTTCTTAGACTTGGTTTGATAGACAAATAATTATCAAGAATCAATAGTAATGTACATGAAAAGTAAGCTATTAAATTGTCTTAAGTCATATAGATAATGAGCAGGGGAAGATCTACGTATAGGCTATTGCGAGATGAAGCCCAAGGCAACTTAGATTTTTTCAATTTTTAGTGTAAATTTTTTTATTTGTAAAATATAGCTCACTCCTTTAATGTTTAAGACTAGTATAATTATTCTTCAGCTCAGTCTAACCTAAATTCCTAGATCCGCCCCTGATAATGAGTTCATGACATAATGTGATCGAGATGTTATACTCCGTAATAGTTTACGTGGGATCAAAGTTTTATACGGAGTGCATTTTTTATCTACATTTTTTATCTACATTTTTGTATTTATAGAGCTACGTTTTTCTATCAACACAATTGTAAGTTTGTAACCATTCATACCAATTACGGAGTATATATAGCTTATCGATATTGAAATATAGTTTGATTCGTGGTTTTTTTACTACGCATTACATATTGGGTACGTTAGCAACTTCACAATAGAACTTTGGGGATCCATCAGGCCCACAGCCCACTTCTCCTTAGCTGCTACTACATTTTCTCAAGGAAGCCATTTTATTTTCTAGCATACAATGCCTATCTGACTATCTCTCCACGAATTGAAAGCCATAATGATCCGTGAAAATGATGGCTCCAAGTTATGTTGTCTAATGTGAGATGATAAAGATAGATCAAATTGTTTTTTGCTTCTCCTTTACCCAAAAACACAGTACATACTCCCTAGGTCCCTTAAATCTTTGTCAAACTTTTCTTTTTTGGTGTCTCACTAACTTTGCCACTTTCCCTTTTAAGTATAGAATTTGTGATTCTAGTTAATTCTCTTTCCTCTACACAAACCTCAATCACACAATTTTTACTTTATTAATCTCCGTGCCGCCGGTCAATCTTGACAAAGTTTTAATGGACGAAGGAAGTATTATTTACGGAGTACTATCATATTTTGCAAAGCAAAACTTACCTCACTTGATGTATCCATATTTCAAGTTTCAACTATTCGGCTAATACTATCATTAGAAATAAATTGACTTTTTGAACAAGTACTCCGTATATTTCAACCAGTATTAGTCGAACCTACAAGATTTGAAATAATTAGATAGGCTAGGGTGAGGTGATCCAGAGGCAGCTTTAGTGGAAATCTTTAGATAATTTCTATTGTTAGGTCCTTAAAATAATAATAACCGTTTGAAAATTTAGAGATTATGATAGCTGAAACTGAATTTACAGGTGTGACCAAATATACACGTAGAGATTACACTGGGTTTTGGGAAATACAATGGGATGTCAAAAATGATCTCCCATCTTGCCTTCCATCAAGTACAATTTCAGTACGTAATGAATTAAATGAGAGATTGAAATAGCTCGGCTGATGAAATTGCTCAAGAAGGATTTCTTTTAATGCTAATATATGGGTTTGTAACTTTGTATAGTTTTTATATGGCATTGCTCTTTTTGGTTAAAAAGGTGCTGATACAATCCCAAATGAGATTTCTTGATGAGTCGTTCTTAACACATGCCCATTTTACACGTGTAGACAATTTATGTTGTTTTTATTTGGACCGTTTTTAGTCTCAAATCAGACCTGACTTTCATAGGTATAAAATACACAAAGATTAGACATTTATCAGACAAGATCAAACTGATTCAGACCAGATCAGAGTAGACTTAAACATACCAAAACAACAAATTTCAATCCAAATAAAAACATCTTAAAAAATATTCCACTATTTGCGTTTTATAATGAGTTGTTAACAGGTGTACATATGTAAAATAGTGGGATGGACATGTGTACAAAAATGTGTTCTAAAAGAAATTTTCCTCTCATGATTGCTGCCCAATCACCAACTTCTAAACTCATTGCGGTTGCTAAGCTTCTAGGTTGTTGTATTGATTTGTGTCTAATTTATTTTTACATGGAGCGTATTCAACCTTGGTTTATTCCCCTTCTCGCATACTTGTTTGACTTACATGATTGAGATTATCTTGTGTAGCTGAAAAGCCTAATCAAAGAGCACCAGTGAGGTTCAAAAGCATCAAACAAATCCTTAGGATGCAAGTGTTCTATGACTTTAGGTATTTCACACT